ATTGGAACAAAGGCTTCGTGTTCAAGTTTTATTTTGAAACTTGTTTAAAATCTTTTTAGTGCCCAAATCTGACTTGGTTGACCCAAGCTGAGTCAAAGTCATCCTTTGAACCTTTCGGGTCTTAGGATGGTCTCTAGGAGACATGAAGTCCCCACTCCTTGCATGTTGAATCAACGAAAAAACAAGAGAATTGTGCCTTTAGAAGAAGATGATAAAAAAAAAAGTAGAGCATTGTTTTGCATTTGTAAGGGTTGGTGAAATTCACATTTCAATATCTTATATTCTCATAAATGTAAACTCTCATATTATCGTAATTGTATACTCTATTGAAAGCAAGAGGCTTTTTTTTCCCCCTTTGAAACTATTCAAATTGGAAGAATTGATAAGTATATATCGACCTAAAGGACTACTACACAAGTAAGAATTTGAACATCTTGAAAATGTTTTTGCCCACACTTCCAAGAACTCATAAAAGTACCAGGATATTAAAATAAATAATTTGATACATTTAGACTCTGGATATTTACCCATGACCAGCATTTATAAAAGGACAAAAATACACTTGTTTCTAAAAATGTTGGATTTGGCTTGTTAAAATTTCAGCCTAATCTTGATGCAATTTGCTTTAAATCCTGCCATATGCAAAATACCATATTTCACCTTGGTTTTTCCAAATATTTTGTATCAAATTGTTGTTTTTTGTGTGGGCATCACAAGTACTAACCCTAAAGATAAGTTTTTATGTTGGTACTAACCATAAAGATAAGCATATAGGCATCACAAGTACCAGCCCATTGAAACATTTAACTATAAAATCAAGCGTTTGCCTGCCAAGTTTACCCGTAAAACTGACATTTCTACTTTGCCTTGTGGTAGTTAATCCTATCTCCTTTCAAACCCCACAAAACAAGTAAAAAAGATGAAGGAAAAGAAAATCAACTCTGATTAGGGAGTTTATTGCTTTGATTGTGATCGAGCATTTCTTAGTTTACTACAATAATCATAGTACTGGGACCTGCATTTTATCACAAATTACATTAATGGCAGGGCAGATAAAACAAATAATGGATTTTTGCCAAGCCTGTTTGGTTTTTTAGGCAAACTCTTAGTGTCTCTGTTTTGTGTGATTCTTGACCTCATGGTTTCTGTATGCAGTTTAGTTCAAACAGGTACGGATTTTTGTTTGAGACTTTAGGCTAGCAGCTTGATGTCCCGTTGATAACAAATTAACTTCTTTTTCCCTCCAAATTTTGAATCAGTTATATAAATCCCTTTTGAAAGTCTTGATTCAATAAAGCCTATATCTACAAAGAGATTCGATGATACCAAATTTTCTGCAACCAGATGAGGTCCTAATAATTTTGGTCTGCCTTTGTCTCTTCTATCACGTTTCACTAGAATTACATTATATCCTGAAGAGTTTTATTAGGTTTAGGGAAGATATGCTCCAACTATTAACTCATATTTTCCTTAATTATGCTCCGGGATTTCTTATGGGCACATACATACAGGCAATCCAGCTTCACGGTTCTTCATTATCTGCATATGGCCTTTTTTTACCTAGGTGCTCATTTTGTATGGGCTCTTAGTTTAATATTTCTATCCAGCAAACATGGTCATTGGCAACAGCTTGCTGAATCCATTGTTTGGGCTTATAATAAATTATAACATGCTCCTAATACTCAGCCGAGAGCCTTGAGCACTGTACAAGGACGTGCTATAGGAGTAATCCCAATAAGCAAAGCAGTTACTTTTAAACAAAGTTTAACTATAGCCCTATGCAGTTCAATACACACAGGACCTAGTTGGTGGCACCTCCAGTTGTTGATGTATATTGCCTATTCATATTATTCATTTAGTATGTTCACTCATCTATCTTGACAATCTCATTCACTCTGCTACATTCATTTAATGGACATTCACTCCGCACCATATAGTATAGTTTGGTCATATAACCATTTTCCATATTAAATTTTGCTTTATTATTTTTCTTAATCTGAACTATGTTTTGTTTGCTTGTGGTAGAGATCCTTTCCACTGACTGAAGAAGAGTACATTTTGAGGCTTGATGATGTGGCGAATACATTAAAATGTTGGGGAGCTGTCTCACATGTCCGAAACAGCCTGGAAAAGTTGAGAGAGAAAGAGCGACCGCGGATAGGAAAAGTAAACACGTAACTCTAGATTTTGCAATTTATTGTTTTGATTCAATCATTAGAAAAGAAGTATGCCCCACACAACACATGTACTTCCACCTTAAAGATGAATGATAGTTTCAAAATTAGGATGTTAGATTCTAAGCTTAGTCCCTCGTCTTTTCTTTCTTGCAAGAGCTAAATTTAGTTGAGTTGTTTTCCCCCATCTTTATGTGCATTATGTAATTCCAAAAATGAAATGATGCCCCTTGATATAAGAGAACATATATAGAATAGTATAAAAATTCGTTTATTATTGTTTGTTACATTTTAATGTAACGAGGATTTGTCTGCAATATTCAGATTCAATGCTTATACTTTCAAATTTCAATTTTTGTTTCAGGCAATAAGCATTTTCATAGATATGGACGAGTCTGGAGGCCGTACAAACGAGTGGATTTACAAGTAAAGCCATAATTGTTTTTTCTCAATTTTTTCCTGAAATTGTACATCTTTTTATCAAAGTTACCGATGTAAAGTGGCGTTTCGTATATACTGGCAACAGTGGGAAATTGAAATAGAGAAACATTGAAAGAGATGATATGGCTTGTATCCATTTGTTCTAATCTAGAAAATATGCCATATATTATATGCATTGGTATTTTGTGGGGATTGTGGAAGTTGCTGACTGACTTGTGCCTATGCGATTGGGGGAGTCATTTATGGTATAGGAAAGAATGACCCAACATGTGCACAGAGAATCGATTTTATTTTTTTTAGATGGGGATTGTAGAATCAGTTAAGGGAGGGCGACTTGATCAAGTTGCTTCACAATCTGTCCAACCCTGGATCAAACCGTTGCCAAAATCTGCCACTCCCTGAATCAAGTATCAAGCACATTAGAATAGCTACCCTGCTCTCATGTGAAGAGAAACTGAATACCCACTTTCTCAAGTTTGATTAGTTCACATGTTTATAGATTTTTTCATTTTTCATTACCATAAAAGATACTAATTAAAGCCCTTGTTTAGTTTGACTAAAAATCAAATTTGATGAAATGTATGATTTAAAAGTTGATAAAAGTTGTAGTTCGTAGGAAATGTGTGGTTAATTTAATGGTTGATTGTGAATTAAATTTTTATCAACTTTTTTAGTTAAACCAAACGAGCAAAATGTTGATGTTCTTAGGAGTCCTAGAATATATCATCTTTCCATATGGTTCACACACACACACACACCCCCCATTGTTTCATATTACATCAGGTTAACAAGTGTTTTGACCTCATTGGTTTACAAAACGTAACGTCAAGTATACCTTGACAGGTTATCAAATTCTAACATCTATAACATTATGGTTGTATCCCCCACCCCACCCTACCCTACCCTACCCTTCTCTATTTTTCACCTTTTCTCAAAATTATGTTTACATAATATCACCTCGATGCATTTTTATTAACAGATTTCTATTAAGGCGTTTCTCAAACATCTTGGTGCACGATCAACATTGCAGGCCTAAACAGTATAAACAAATACTCAATCTTACCAGTGAGAATGGGGAATGAGTTGATAATAAATTTTTAAGAGAATTAACTCCTATACTATGAAAGTTAGCATGTCATGTGGATTTACTTGTAAATTAAGTACTATTTAGCGAATGCATATTGTGTCTTTGCAGTCGTAATTGTACGACTTTAGTTCTCAATAAAGTATTGATATGGGTTTATTATTTTGTTGTCTTATTCTTGTTTTCTCTCAATTTCATAATAGATTTACAAGATATTCGTGGTTTTATCATTTTTCGCCAACTATCTATATTGATTGCTTTTTAAGGGTCAAATTACCCAGGATATGCTGTGCTATGGTAAGGACTTTCAAAGAAAATGAAATATTGCATACTTAAAAATGTTCAGAGATTTACCTTTTAAATATTGGAAGTCCTTGTGATTGAATCCAATTTAAGTATAAAGAAAATTTAATCTAATTAAAATTAAAATGTAATACGAATGTAGTGGAAGAGTGGTTACCTTACTTTTGCGGAACTAGAAGAGTGACCCACATGCCTTCCTCATCTTCAAGAAATACTTTAGTTTGGGACAAATCCTCTAAGTACACGTAATACGACTTTTTCAAATTAAGAAGTCTCAGAGTTTTGAACGCTTTACTCCCGACACTCCATATGTTGAGTTGGTCTGTCCATTCACTACGTTTCTCTCTTATTCACTTGACGTTCGAGGTGTTTTGACTTGGAGTTGTTCATGGCCTACAGTGTCGTGATTTGAATGAATTGTCCTACCTATATATAATTGCCCCTAAAGAATTTCTCGATGCTCAATCGTGCTGCCTCACTAAAGGCCCCCTTCTCCTTCACTGCTGGGTGCTATCCTCTCATCGAAGTAGAACTCTAACCCCTACAAATGATGACTATGGTTGTTGCCATGGAAGAGTTTTTCAGGTTATCAGCCTCGAGGAAAAAGCTTCTTGAAAACCCTCAGGAAGCAAGGACAATGCTTCTCTTATAACAGTATTTTATTTGATTTCTTCTCTTGTAATTTTTGGTCAGGTCATTGTTCAAGTTCATGCTTGCTTAAATTTTACTAGTGTTTTCAATCAACTAAGAAATAATACGGGTGCGTGCGTGCGTGCATTCATTCATGATAATCAATAAAAAATTCAGCCTAAGACAAAACAACGTTTCTTCTTAATGATGATCACAAATAATTCCTTTTGAAGCATAATCAAGGACATATCATACGAACAATATACGAATTAACTAACATGGTACAAAAGAGATGTAATTGAAATCAGAATGTCCATTGAACCAAAATCCTCAAAAAACATATAACACATTACACCGATAGATTAAGATTAAATTTGCTGGAAAACCTTGTCAGCCGCTGCTATTGTCCGTTGAATGTCCTCAGGAGTATGTGCTAAGCTCGTAAAACCAGCCTCAAACTGAGAAGGTGCCAAATACACACCTTCCTCCAGCATTCCTCTGTAAAACCTAGCAAACTTTGCAGTATCACTTTTCTTTGCATCCTCAAAGTTATAAACTGGGCCATCTGTGAAAAAGAAGCCAAACATCCCACTTATATACCCACCGCATATCGCATGCCCAGCATTCTTTCCAGCATCTACAATGCCCTGAATAAGTTCACTCGTGATCGTGTTCAGGTAATCGTATGTCCCGGGTTGTTTGAGCCGCTTAAGCGTGTGGATACCAGCAGTCATTGCCAATGGGTTTCCACTAAGGGTCCCGGCCTGATACATTGGTCCGGCTGGAGCAACCATCTCCATAATCTCCCGCTTTCCTCCATATGCACCAACTGGTAGACCACCACCAATAATCTTCCCAAGTGTTGTCAAATCAGGAGTTATACCAAAGTACTCCTGAGCACCACCATATGACAAACGAAAACCAGTCATAACTTCATCAAAGACTAGGAGAGTACCATTATCTTTGGTGATCGTACGGAGGGCATTTAAAAAATCAGGCATTGGTGGAATAAAACCAGCATTTCCTACAACAGGTTCGAGTATAACAGCAGCAATCTCTCCTTTGTTTGCTTCGAAGATGGTTTCAACAGTTGAAATGTCGTTATACGGAGATGTCAATGTTTCATAGGTAGCTGCCTTGGGAACACCGGGGGAGTCGGGGAGCCCCAAAGTAGCAACACCACTGCCTGCCTTAACAAGGAATGGATCTGCATGACCGTGGTAACAACCCTCAAACTTTATGATCTTTTCACGACCAGTGAATGCACGAGCCAGTCGTAACATGCCCATACATGCTTCTGTACCGGAGTTGACAAACCGAACCATTTCTATGCTAGGAACAGCAGAGATTACCATTTCTGCCAGGGTATTTTCTAGAAGACAAGGAGCACCAAAACTAGTTCCTTTCTTCATTGTTTCAGCCAAGGCAGCAAGTACCTGCAGGTTATCAATACACGAAAAATAAATGATTGACTGCAATTTTTAACTTTTCTCTTCTCAAACCTTCAAATTAATTAGCCACTGCTATTACTCGAAAACAAAATTACTTATGCAGAATTGCCTATTTGCAAATCACTCCAAAAGTTTCTTTTAGTTAAAATTCTAGTAAAACATAAAAAGGAACGGAAGAAAGCCTTGGTATCCACCATACCTAACCACAAATATTCGAAAATCTTATCAATGCAACTTCTCTATCCCGTAATAAAAGCCCAAAACACAAGATGTTCTCAATAGGTTCTTGAATCATATTCCTATTGCTATGTAGGCATGCTTGATTGGCAATCAAGGCCAATATTTATAAGCAGGGCTAGAAATGGACCTCGTCATCTGCATGACCAATTATAGCCGGCCCCCACGATCCAACATAGTCAATGTACTCGTTACCATCAATATCCCACATGTGAGAGCCCTTCACAGAATCAATCAAGATAGGCTGGCCACCAACTGATTTGAAAGCTCGTACAGGAGAATTTACACCTCCTGGCATCAATTCCTGTAATCATTCATATAATATAGGATTCAATGAACGCAAGAATGTTTCATGGGCTTATATGAAATACCACATAAAAAAATAACATAATTAGAAACAGAGTACATGAATGAAGTCAACAACATATTCTAGGTTCGAAAACGAACTACAACAGAGTCGAGAAGTATGAACTGACACCCATCGGAAACAATGCTACATGTTTTAAATACATCTGAAAATTTCACCCAAAAAGAAGAGTTTATTTACAATCAAACCTATTGCTATCTAGCATCATTAAAGATTCAAAGGAATTCTAATACCATTATAATAATTCTAATTCTAAATCATAGACCCACAATTCCACATTATTGCAAAGCTACCAAATAACACGAAGCATAAATCTTGCAATAGGTCAACTCATATCCTAATAGGGTTTACTTGAGAGCAATACCAAGCATTACAAAGAAACAATCTCAATTTCGATAAATGTAAGTTTCAAAAGAAACAAAAAACACTTAGGAATGAAATTATTGTATCAAGTTCCATCAATTGGACTTTTCAGCTTGAAACGCACACAGAATTCAAACAGTAAAATCGATTACCTTGGCGGCATTGAAAGCTTCTTCGGATTTCTTGAGAGTGTAAGTTTTCTTGTTTTCGTAAGAGACAGCAGTCATTCGGATGATTGTACGAGGATGCTTGTGCAGATTTTGACTGAGACATGATAACCCACCTACTACACCACCCGTAATTGAAGCAGCCATAGCCGTACACACCTATCCCTCTCTCTCTCTCTCTCTCTCTCTAACACACACACACACACAACACACGAAATTGGGTATATGAATTTCTCTCAGTAGAAAATTGTCGGACAAAGGGATAAGAAATTGAGATAAGAGTGCAGTTCTTCGATCAATCCCAACCACCGTTGAAATTACATTCGTACAGTTTTATCTCTGTCAGGGCTCGGCTCAAATAATTTTAATGGGCCTAGCCCGTCAATATCAAAAGAGAATTGGACCAAAATATTCCAATTGTGGAAAGAGGAAATTATCCCTCGACCTGAATTTAAAATAGTGGCAATTACAGGAAACCCTACTTTTCAAGATTCAAATTCTAAAATCAGATTTAAGCTTTTTTTCATAAATCAAATATTTTATATATAGATACAATTTTTTTATATTTAATTAAATATTACTAATAATATTATAAAAATTAATTTATATACACCCCCATGCACCCCATCCATACTGTAAAACCCTAATTTCTCAGATTTCCCATTTCAGAAAACTCCTTCACCCCCTAGCTATCTCTCTCTCTCTCTCTCTCTCTCTGGCCACCATCACCACTGCGCCCGCCGGAG